AGGCTTTGGTTCTACCAATCCTCTAATGAGTTTAAAATGCAAGTTTCAAGATGATCATTCAACTAACCACTAATTATTGACTTGTTTTATCTTATGCTTTTATTATTTTTTATGCTTTATGTAATATTTATTTTTTAGCATTTACATTTCATGCCATTTTCATCTTTGCTCATTTGAGCATTTATTTTCTTGCCATTTTTACTTTGATCACTTGAGCTTTTCTTTTCTTTTCTTAAGATACTTAATAATCAACATAAACCCTAAAAAAAATTTAACGGCACTTGGACTATTTGGTTACTATCCTTGGCATGATGGAGCATGGGACTTTTTCTTGGATTTAGGATTAAAAACCTTGGCCTATCTTGGAGACCTTGTGATCTTATCTGATTATTTTGTCTGGAGTTCTTGAGGTTTACCTCAAGACATTGGGTTGCTTGTTTGTTTTTGTGTGCAGGTTTTTGTGATTACATTCTCTGTTTGTAATCTGGAATTCACCCGTATACAGCCGTTACTCTGCTCAATTTTTGTGAAGACTTGTACACTTGAAGTTTGTTTCTCTCAAGAGGTCTAGTATCTTTGCTTGCTTGGTTTCAATCCAAAGAACGGGAATTCTATCTTGGCTCATAATGTCAAATTTTGGATTCTTATTGGTTAGATGGTTTTTATCCTTAGCTTTTACCTTATGCTTTAGGATAGCCTCTTCTTCTCCTCCCATCTTCTTTAATTTCAAAAATCTTCTCCCCCCTTTTGAAAACTCTTCTTGTTTTCTAAACTTGAAACACTTTCATAATAAACTTGGACTTAGGTCCATGCATTTTTAAAACACTTTCATCAATAAACCTCAATCAACTTAATAATACCTTGACACTTTTTGTGAGAAGACTAAAATTCAATCAATCTCATTTCAAACCATTTTTGCCACTTTGGCTTTTTACCTTTAAACTTTTCTCAAAAGATTAGACTCTTGTCAATCCTTGTAGTGATGTAAATAATTATACTTCTACAATATGTAGTGAAGTGAGATATTTTCCACTTGGGTGTTGAGTGAGGCATTGTTGATTTTAAGATTCAAGCCATATCCTTCACTTTGAGATGATTCAAATTTTTCTTTCTCATGATTGTGGGTAGTAAGTATGTTTTCCACACGGACAATGACGATGATGTCTTATCTCTTAAAATTAACTAACACATTTGTGCTTCAATTTTTAAAAGAGGAACTACGTGTACCCTGATCCCCTATTGCACGAAAGGTGGTACGTAGGCACTAAAGGTTTGCAACCGCGGCGGGTGCAAAAATCATAAAAAATACTTCTCTTCTCACCTCCACCATCTATTTCTATACAACACATTTTTTATAGCCAAAATATACAGATTTTACAAAGAGGTTCCTGCAGAGTACCGTAGATGTTTAGGGTGCTAATACCTTCCCTTTGCATAACCAACCCCCTTACCTTGAATCTTTCCCCCTCTTTTTGGCTTATTCGCTCTTTTCCCATTCCTTTGGAAACAATAAAGCGCGGTGGTGATTTTTATTTTGATTTGTATAAAGTCTAGTCAATCCAATGGCTTAGTCTTTAACATTTCTACCGCTACACTTATTAGTACGGTTGGTAGTGTTACCTGTTGTGAAATAGTTTACCCATATATAAGAAAATTAGCTCTCACTTATTGACAATAGAGTCATTTCCTTCACAGTGAAACCCTAGCACCCATTTTTTCTCTTCTTCTTCGCCATTATCCGTGAATCTTGTGCTTCATACGTTAAGGTATTCTTCTTGTTCCATTTTCTTGTTAGATAGTTCCCCATTATCTCGTTTGTTGCATGTTTTTTTTGTTGATTGTTCTTATTTTTTCGGATTCGTCTTCACTACCTTAACAAAGACCATACTTTGTCTATGATACATATTATTTGTGTAGCTATGAAAAAAGTACAAGAAGTATGAAACTATGATGGAAACTTCATCCACCTTGTATTTATTATTTATAGCTTCACAGACAAGATGTTTTTCATACTCTGTTTACAAACAAGTTTGTGGTTTCACATGTTAATAACTTTCATGGTTATTGTAGGGCTCAACAAGAACAAAACATTTTAGTAAATGAAGAAACAATAGCGGTAATAAACTTCATCTAGTTTGAGATACAATGAGAAGAAATATAAGAAGTATGAAGTTGTTGTGTAAGCTTTTTCCTTCTTATATTTATTTTTCATAGCTTTTTAAACTAGATGAACTTCATAATTGATTCTTGTTTCATGATTAGTTTCAATAAAAGGTGTGTCCTGAAAATTTATAATATATCTTTTTCATTGCTCACAAATTTATAATATTTGGTTCTGCTGTATGATGTTGTTTAAGTTTATCATATCCTATGTAGATTGTTTGTTTCACCAACTCCCACTTAAAATACATTCATTTAAATTAACATACATACTTATAATCTGTAAATTAAGTTGTATTTGAAAACCAACTTATATCAATCATTGTTTCTGAATTGAATGCGTCTCATTGTTCATTTCATGTTCTTTTACATATAGAATATGGTACAATGACATGGCTCCTTAGATGCATCGTTGTCTTCGATTATAGTTAAACTTTATTAACTACAATTTATTGGATAATTTGTCTCATCATCAGCATTAATGATCGTAAAAATTACAATTATAAAAATTACGATGATAAGTGATGATGATGAGGCAGATTACCCAATGTCTTGTTGTTATGAAAATTTAACTATTATCGAAGATAACGATGTATCGAAGGAGTTAGACCAATAAACCACAATATATATATATGTGTGTATGTGTGTGTGTGTGTGTGTGTGTGTATGTGTGTGTGTAAAAGAGCATGAAATGCGCGATGAGACACATGCAATCAAAAAAAATAATGGTTTGTTTAAGTTGGTTTTCAAGAATAGTTTAATTTTCATATTATAGACTTCTTCGTCAATTGGAAAGCTTGTATTTCTTTAGTGAGGTGTATAGAAAACAAGCAATTTACATATTATATAATAAACTCTGGATACTTTCAACAATAATTATCTATTGTAACCGTGATCAAAGGTCATTTATGTTTTACATAATTTACTGCTAATGGGTTTCGAACCCAGTACCTAAGTGTATATATCACAACGGTTTAAAATCGTAATTGTTGTGATATGAGACGCGCATCCTGCCTTTCAATAACAGTTTCCAGATTGTGGTAAAAACAACGAACTTACAACCATACGCTACTTAACAACGGTATGACACGCGTGGTGGTATCATTTTCCAACTGTTGTGAAAAGGGTTTTCTGTAGTAGTATCTTGTTCATTTTTAAAATGGTTCCGAATATCTATCGCCTTAACTAAGTAAGGTGAAATAATTTGAGACGCAATAGGTTTGAGAATAGCATCAGGATGTACCATACCTAATGTAAAAAAAAACCTTTAACTAAGAATCTTCAATAGTAAGGAATAAATTGCAGGAAAATAAGCACAGACAGAAAACCAAAAATGTATATCCGGTCCAGTTTATTTTCGGTATTAGCGTGACCTTTTTTCCATGAAAAATCATATTAATGTGATAAATGTGAGTTGAAATGAATGAACTTTCTTTAACTCATTTTGGTATGATGAACCACAAAAATGAAGATTTAGAGTGAAAAACTTGATTGAGAATAGAAGGATTTTTGGAGAGGATTTATGAAAACTTTGAGAATGGAAGGTGATCATTCTGGTTCATGCTAGTTGCTGTTTTAAGCAAGTTCACTTTTGATTTTTCTAGAAATACACTTTCGATAATATCTTATATGCAAAGGTGGCAACATTTTCAATTTCCCGCATTAATTAATCGAGTTTGCATTTTCCGTTTTCTCCCGTAGACGCATCTCCAGGGATAACTAAAGTTTTAAAAAAAAAGGTCCATTCTAAAAATACACTTTCGGTAACGCAAGGACAAAATTGGATTTTCATAGGATTCTTTTCATAGACATAGGGTGTAGGAAGAAATTCTCTTACTTTATCTTTTATAATATCATTAATTAACATAATTTAGGCCAATATACTAATTACTAAGTACACCCCTCTCTTCAATATAAAAATATATACATACTTGACCAAATATTAACCATTGCTAGTAATATAACACTATCAAGATTTCTTAATCTACCCATGTGGTTGAAAAAGACCCTATGTAATTTTAAAAATTCTTCTGAAAAATCATAAATATATTTCTGATTCACATTTCACATACGTATATTTCTTTCATTTTTTTGATACGCCCTCATTTACGACTTAATTTATTCCAAAAATATATTTTCAGAAATACCCGAAAATACATTTTCGATATCTATTTGGAGATGTTTATTTGTATTTTCTCTCATGCATCCATACCCATTATTTTGTTATAAATGAATAATGTCTTTTGTAATTTTTATTTCTTAATGGAAAAACTGATATTTTTAAAATTATGAAAGTATAGAAAAGAATAGCATCTTTCTTCTTTTTTTTTTTGCAAAGAAAAGAATACCGTCATCTTTAACTTTTGATGCAAATCTTCCTAAGTCAATGAAACTATATCATCATTGAAATTATAACCTCTTCTTTCTTATTGCATGACTAGAAACCAGAAATATATTTTCAGAATAAATTAAATCGTAAATAAGAGCGTATCTCAAAAACGAAAGAATTATACGTATGTAGGATGCGAACAAGAAATGCATTTTTGAAAATCGAAGATATTTTCAAAATTTCGCGTGATGTGCTAGAAAACTTTAAGAGTGGGTTAAAAAATTCTTAACAATATTTAAGAGTACAATCATATATATAGAAAGATAGAGAGAAAAGACATGTTACCGGAAAAACTACAAATTCTTGTATATCATAGAACTTACAACACAAAGATCAGCACACCAAAAAATATGAGATTACTCAGCTGAAAAATGCTACCAACTACCATATGTTATCTCTAAAGCTACATTTTACAAGTAATTACAATCATACTACATAGTAAGCAAAAAATTTACTTCATGTTAATGCTAGCTGGAAGGCATACTCCAAGATCAGGATCTTCCTCAAAAATAGATTCACAGTTAATTAGTTTCACAACATGTTTAGCTGCAGGATGGTATTTCTGCTGAGCTTCAAAAAAGCTTTTGCCAAGAACACTTTCTACCCAATCCTCCACTGAGTTTTTCTTGTCCGCTAACCAAGCAGCTGCAAGCATTTGTGTCATTACCTCATAATCAATTTCCAACTGAAACTCTGAACCAAATGTCCTTTCAAATTGTATGCTAATGTTTTTTAGTAATTTCTCAGCAAGCTCGTCAAAATTGAATGGCTTGAAAACCACTTTTTCATCCGTTTGATTGCATAAATCACTAAACCAGGAGTCTAGGTTATCCACTACAGACTTGCGTTCACGGTCGTCATCGTCGTTCGTACCCTCTTCGTCCTCTTCTAGAGGCATATTTAAATCCAGATTGGGGATTGATGTCTCGGAAACGTGTTTTTGCATCTTGCTTGTTGTTCTCTCTTTGAAGTCACTAGTACCAACCTGCTTTCTTTTGTTCAGAAATGATGGTTTTGAAAACCCTTTTCTCGGCACAATCTTGATATTTGTACTACAGCTTCTTTTGGCATCCTCGGATGTATCTCCAAGTAATAACTGCATTTGACATCTTTTGGCTTCAAGGATTGTTTCCTCGGAAAATTTTTTACCATTGTCCCCTGCAGAAGAGCTGTTGCCTTTGATGACAGACGAGGTTAAAAGAAAGATTGTTCTGCTGAGGCTAATCTCCCTTCCATGTGAGTCTGGAAATTTACCTCTTCGTATTGCCTGTAACAAACTACTCTGCACCAGAAAATCAGCTTTATCCACATTATCAAGAAAGACAACGGAATGAGGATTTTTACTCAACTCCCCAGCAATATAATCCACAACTGTCTTCCTAATAATCACATCATAAGAAGATGACTTTTGGCATTCGAAAATTGAGTTCGATTGGCAAAACCTGTTCTGGAAACCAAGATCCAGAGAGATTACACTTTCTGTATTTCCAAATATAGCCTCTGCAAGAGCTGAAGCAATTTTCTTTTTTCCAACTCTATCTGGTCCAAGGAAAGCAAACCATATGTCTGCTCTACCATGTGAGTCTCTACTCTTTCCTTCGCAGGATTTTCGAAGAAACAAAGTTCGGCTGATATCACATATGGCCTGATCCTGCCAGTCAACCTTTTCAAAGAGAAGTTTATTAAGAGATTTGAAATCTACAGAATCAAATTTTGCTGATAAGTTTGGAACAGAGCAGGAAGATCTAGCAATCTGGTGTGATGTATTTCCCTGGAGTGCAACACAATCAGCTGAAGCAGAATCTGACACGAGCTCAAAATGCTTTATTTTATCTTGAAACCTTGGGGTATCTGGCTTGCAAGCATTCGCTGTTGATGTATATAACGTTCCCAATCCTAAATCTGTGGCCACAGAAGTAAGGGACGAAGATGATTTGTTATCAAGCACACTCCTATTGGCCATACTTGAAGAGGTGGCCCAAGGAGTCGTCAAATCAATTTCCTGAGTCTCTGTAACTTTCTGCACATGATCAGTTCTAACATCAACACTGACTATATCAGTATTTACAAGAGCCGGAGATAACTGTTTTGATGCAAAAGTACCATGCAACTTTTCAGGCATGAAGGAAAATGAACTAGAACATTGGAGTTCATTAAGTGATGGATCTTTACTGCTGCTTTCATTAAAACCAGAACCAAACCGAAAAACCTCAAGTGATGGAACTTGAGACCTTGGTTGATGAAGCTGTTGACAAATATCATTCCACTTCTTTTGAAATTCCAATATCTTATCATTCAAGCTTGTATTTTCTTCATTAGTCTGCACTGGATGATGGAGTACATTCTGAAATACATATACACCCATAGATTTGAACCATTGAAATATTGCAAGTGATGCAAAATATGATAGTTGACAAAAAGTTGATTCAAGAAACTTAATTAGTGTAGCGAATATAATCTCAAGAAACAAAATCTTACAGTTCTTCATGAGATTTTCTAGAATAACTTTCGGATGTTCTGAGTTATAAAGAAAACATATGATTTTCTTGTGTCCCAATACTAATAACAAAAATGTCCTTTTAGCTACTCCAGATTTATATGGCAGACCAAAACTATATAGGCCACTATACTGGTGGATGTAGAATATTCTATTAGGCTTTAAACTTTTAGAAAGGTATAATCTACTAAGTTCAGTAAATTATCAAATTTCCCCCTTTTTCTTTATTGGAAGGCTTTTTGTTACCTTAATTGGTGTATTTTAAAGTGAATGGTAAAATAGGTAAGCTATAGCTATTGAATCTAAAATCAATTATTGACATATAAACTTCATAGGTTGTCATACATTTACATGCATAATATCATAATCTCAACCAATAAATCTATAATTACGTACTTTATCCTCTAAAGCGACTTTTCACATTAGGGAAGCTAAAATAGTTTTAACCATTATTTGGCAAGCAAGCATTATTGGTACCATTAAATTGTATAAGTGGTGCAGTACAATAATTGCCTCCACCATGTTCCATGCATCATGTATTCATTGAACATGAATATCTAACATTCGGATATAATAACAAACCTTTGCCATGTCAAGTCCCCCATGTGTGTCCACATCAACAACCTTTTTAAACAAAGGCAAGCTTGTTGAGCAACTAGATGCCAGAGTAGCAGGATCTACCTTCAAAACATTGGCAACTTCTTGTTCGTACTTTTCATTGCATTTGTCACAGCAAGTAAAAGATGCATTTGTAGAGCTTACGTGACTTTTGCTTTCAGAAGGTGTAGAAAAGAATCCACCAAATGGAACAAAGGACCCCATCAAACTGTAAGTTTATCAAGAGCATGAAACTGTGAGATCCAATTAGCACAACAGTCAGAAATTAAAGTGCAAACAATGGGACAGACTTCAACTATAGCATCCTCTACAAAAAATGAAGTATATTGTGTAGCCAATATTCATATATAACAACATAACAAACTACTTAATTTTCTGGACTCACAGTAGGAGTTTGGAAAATGCAAGCTTTTTAAGAATCCGTGCTTAAAAAACATTAGTTCTGACTTCTTACAATGCATAACAAGAAATGGATCAACTATAACGACAGAGTGAAAATTAAGTAATTTACATTCAATCTGTTAGTACAAGTCTCCAGCTTCCTAATGCATATGATAGAGTTCTACACATCAAAGTAAGGAAACTCAGAAGTGTATCTTTCATTATTGAATCTTATGAGATTGACCTTTGTCCAGCAAATAGTACATACATTAGAGCAAATTATAAGTGACTAATTTTCATTTTCCTATTGAAAAAAATCAAGTAAACATGATAGTGAGGTTTGGAATTATGAGAGGGAGATTAGAGTAGAATATAGAATGTGTTCATGAAAAATCCACTGCAGTCACACAACTCTTCTGAAAATGCAACAGAGGGAAAAATTAACAAGGAACACTTAACTGAGAAGAAAGCAACCAAAAATAGCAAAATCGCCTAACTTTTTGGCTCACAAATCACAACACAGCCATCTCACAATCACATTCGTTTATTTGTATATGGCCTCACTCACCGTTCCTAACTTACACTGCCTTAAACCCTGTAGCACCGACACTTTTGATGGAAGGTGTCTGAAATGCAGAACCGTATTTGAGGGCAAGCAAGATGGGCTACCGCACATGGCCTAAAATTTGTCATGGTTACACTGTGGCTAAATAGAGCCTCATAAAATATTGTCAGGTTAAATATGACCTCTATTTGTTTTGACATGGTTAAACTAAGACTAACATAGACTAACATACACAAGGCCTTCAAAAATTTGAGACGACTAAGCTGAAGTGTGTCAGTGTTCCACACTGATACAATTGACACGATACCAACACCTGTGATTACTTTTAATTAATTCATTTGAGACGACTAAGCTGTAGGTGTCTTTGTTTGTGCTTCGTAGGTCTTAAATACACTTTTAGTCTGAAATGTTTCTATATACATGTATATATGTATGTACACAATTACATAATTACATTCGATTAGTTCCAGTTTTTCAAATGTACTTCCCGTTAAGAAAAAGAAAAAACCAATGAGAGAAAGAATACAAATACCTGGATTTGGATTTAGAGTAGAGTTCATTGATTGAAGATGATTGAACTTGAGGCGGACGTTGAAGCAAAGCGAGCTTAACATCACAGCTTCGAAATCCAGCTTCATCAAAAACCCGGTTCACGATTGGATCATCAAGAATCGATACAACAAAATGTTTAAGCTCAACTTTCAACATAGACGACGTCGTTCCGTTTTGATACTGATTAAACAAATGGAAACTCTCCGGGTGACGCCGCTGATTGGCCTGTGACCGTTTGATTGCGGTCATGAGTGAATTCGAAATCGGCGGCTCCTCCGTCGTTGATCCTTTCGAGGACGGGAGGCGGTCGAGAGACACGCAGACGGAAAGCTCGAGTGCTCGGAACTGGAGACGGTGCGAGAATGACGGATGTGGAGGGAATCGAACGGGAGCGCGGCAGCAGGCTTCACGGAGAGAGGAAGATGGTAGGGAGAGTAAGGCGGATACGGCGTGAAGTGAGGTTGTTTGTGAGTGGCTACGACGGCGTGCGACTGTTACGGCGTCGTCTAGTGCACGCGCGGCTTCGTCGGTTAGGAATTGCCGTGCGACGGTTACCGGCGTCGGCATCGCCGGCTATCATATATAAAATGAAATAAAATTTATTTAAATATTATGATGTATAAGAAGATTGAAATAATATTAACATGTATGTTGCAATGGTTAGTTAGATCAATAGTGATTGGAACGGAGCATCAGTTCGATTCCACTAATCACTTGATATCAAAACTATGATAATATGATAGTATCAGTTAATTTATGAGGTTAAGAGAAAAACAAGAAGAAAAGTGAGATTTATGGTTGGTGATTGTGGTGATGATGTGTTTTTAATGATGGTGATGGTGGTGATGTGGCGGATTAGATTAAGATGTGTGTGTGTTTTTTTAGTGTCTGGGTGGGCATAGATTCGTTCAATAAGTGAGTTTCTGTTACTTATTCCATCGCCTTTCTTTGGTACACTTTCCGACTAAATTCTAACGTTTTGGTGGAAACTTTTTTTTTTTTGGAAAAGTTAGGGTGATTTTAAGCAAATTTTAAGGAAAATAAATTTTATATTTATCATATATTATTTTTTATAACTCTTTTTTATTTTTCTTCTTTATCCTCTTTAATTTTCATTAATTATTTCTTTTCTTTTTTATTTATATTATAATTACCAGTTTAATAATTATACCATTCAAAATCAATTTTAATAAAATTATTTTAAAAAATATTAATTGATAACAATCACTTCTATATTATTGTATTTAAACATAAATTAATTTTACTAAATTTAATTCTATTAAAATCAATTTTATTAAATTCAATTTTTTCAATCAATTATGTCTACCATCAGTTCAAATACACTCTTAATAATATTTTTGGATATTTTAAATTAAATATAGTAAAATGAAAAACAAGTATAAAATGAAATAGCAGAATGAACTTGAGCATAATAGATAATTTATGGTCTTTTTGGTAAAATAATTTTTCATAATTTTCTAATAAAAAATCATTATTCGTCATGTTATATAAATACATTAAAAATACATGTGTGATTTAGTAGGATATATATTTTTTATTGATTAACATGGTAAAACAATTTTACATAATTCTTTAATAAAAAATTATTATAAATTGTTAGTACACGTTCTATTTTTCACACTAATTGTATAATAAAATAAAGAATTAAAAAAATAGTATCCAGTACTAAGAACAAAGAATTCTAGAGGGTTAATCTCATAATTATAAAAGAAATTTTTAAACTTTTAAGTTTTTAGGCACGATGATGTTAGTTGGAAATTCGACGCTCACAGATTGAATAGAGTCATCAAAGTTTTGAACTCAAGAGTATTGAAAACACGCTTCAATAGAGGCAAATGATGGTCTTTTCGACTAAAGTTTTTGACAGAATAGTATGAATTCGAAACTTAACATTTGAAAGATGTTTGAAGCGGGTTCGATAGGGATAATTTGAAATACGGCCGAAAGAATTGAATTTTGGCGCTTATATGTTCTTTTTGAAAAGCGACGCGTGGAAGCCTGCGAACGGTCGAACGCATGTGTAGCGGCAAAAATTTGAGACTAAGTCATTAATTAACTTAACTCATATCAGTGAAAGTAGCCACCGCACTTTATTGTTTCCAAAGGAAAAAGGGAAAAGAGCGAATAAAACCCACAAAAGAATAAAGATCAAGGTACGGAGGTCAGTTATGCAAAGGGAATGTATTAACACCCTAAACATCTATGGTACTCCGTAAGATCCACTTTGTACGTTCTAATCGAGGAGTGTGTTATCTAAAGCTTAAACTTGCTAAATGGAATGAATGGATTATTAAAGAAAAAAAAGAAAGTTTTTTTTATTATTGTGCTCGCCTCGGTTTTGAAACCTCGTGGTTTTTAAGAGAGAAATCTCAACTAGTCGCCCACAAAGTGTAATAAAGAGGGACAGTGCATCATCGTGAGGGAGGGTTCAAGTATGCCTCTAGTTCTCAAGTGATAAAGTCGACATCTTTATAACCATGGGGATAGGAGAATGGCATCCCGACTATAAATGAATCATGTCTAATCTTGGAAAAAGGTTTTAAAGGAGAAAAAGTGCATGAGGGCACAAAAAGGTTTGAATGAGTTAAGTGTTTTTTTTGGGATAAATAGCAAATGAATCTCACTGGAGGCACACTTACTACCTCTCCACTTATTTGTGAAAAGATTTGTGAATTGAATTGTAATAAAGTTCGAAAATAGAAGAAAGAACAAGGTTCATACTGTACTGCCTCATCCTACTCCAAAAACTCAACTGCATGTGATTTTTTTAAAGTGTTTTAAATTTGATTAAGAAAAAGAAGTTGAGAAAAAAGCCGCTTGACAAAGTTAAGATTTATTATGAAAGTGGTTCGACTTAGAAAATAAAGAAGGTTTTGAAAAATGATGAGAATGTTTTGAAAATTGAAGAATGAGAAAGGAGATGAAAAGAATATCCTATGTACAAGAAAGTAAAAGATATGGTAAGGAAGGTCTGACCAAACAGGAGCCGACACTTGAAAAATAAAGTCAATAAGAATTCTCATCCTTTGAATTAAAGCCACAAATAGAGAATAACCAAGAGTGTACCGAGTATCAAGTGAAAATAAATCATAACATATGAGAATAAATCACAAGCAGAATGTGCGTCAGATAAACCCAAGGTATCAGATAAGTGCAATGTGTCAGATAAAACTCAAAACATTGGATAAGAACTCCAAGTATCGTATGAAAATCCCTGCACCAAACGAAAATCCCAACAAACAAACAAAACAAAGATAACATAGAAATAATCCAAATTCTCAGATAAGGTGATGGAACTCATTGTCAGAAACTAAAAGTAATCTATTTAATCATATACACAAACATCCACACAATTAACTCTAAAATTGCAATGCAATAGAAAAAGAAACAACATAACTTGAATATATACACTATTTCCAAGATAAAAAGAAATGATAATTAAAGTAAAGTAAAAGGGAATAAGAAAGTCTCAAATAGTCATATGGAGTGTGATCGTACCTGACCAGAATGGACCGTCGCGGTTGACTCGAGCAGATGTTGAGAGTGAAGTGGGGAGGGGGGGGGGGGGGTACCTGCAAGACACTCTGATGCCAAAATGAGTTTGGAAGTAAGCAAGCAAGTATGAGTTTAGAAAGTGTTGAATACCTGACCCTCTCAAAAGAGAGGGTATTTATAGTCCACAGCGCTGGGCCAAGGTCTCTTTATTGGGTTGATCAAGCAGACTCAACTTAGAGACTTTCAGGTTCTACGTGAGTAGTGGGGACCCGCACGTGGTCCCCTACCTGGATGACGTCCTCCACAAGCTCAGGAGGATATGAATGTGATCTTTCCGGGACCACAAAGACTCTATAATATCCGGAGACGTTGGTAGTCAGCCCTTCGAGGAAGATGTTAGGGAGGAGCGTCTTCTCGTCATGGGTGATCCTCGCCAGACATGAGCTCGATAGGGGATCACTATTAGTCGACGAGCTAGTTGAGGTGTCCTCGAAGCTTTCATGGTCGTGGCGTGAGTGTCCTCAGTCTATTCGGGAGTTGTCCCCACGTGAGGTCATCTCCTTGCGGGAAAAGGTTAGTAGTTGCCCGCCGTGTTCGAGGGTAGTACCGGTTGCTGGCGCAGGCTAGTACACTTGGATTGGGCCTCACTGGGAGTTAGGCTAAGGGCAGGCCCAGTCCATAATAAGAGCCCCCCAAGTCGTTGCTCCTGGTGAAGGAGTCATGACTTAATTCAAGTTTGTACTTTCGCGAGGTTCTATGCTCGACATGGAGTTTTTCTATCGTGGATAGAGAACGTCATCGGTTCATAATTTTGCTCCGGGCAGCGGTCGGAGCGAGTTCGAGGAGGACTCGCGGGGAGAAGATGATACACTTTTCAGACACGTGGCGTGGCTCTTGGGAACAGTAATGATGACCTAGGGAGTAGGGGCCATCATTACCTGTACATGTAGATGTCAAAGAGAAAGGCGGCTTGTGACTTCCCGACTCGACATTTCACATTCCATGTTAGCTCTATAAATAGGGCTCCAGGACTCATAACTTACTTTCATATTTTCGCGCTCTCCACTTTCTCTGCCATCAACACCGTGCGTTTTTTCCAGAATCCTTAATACCGCTGCATAGTCCACCGTGTATCCTTCCTTAACAACCGTCTCTCTTCATCTTTTCTTCAAGTAAGCGTTCTTTTTCCTTGATATCTTGTGTGTAGATAGGTTTTGATGATGTTTAGTAGTAGGGTTTCGTGTCTGGGGGTTACGCCCGGGGAATTCAGGCGTTTAGGCGTTTGATTTATAATCATGCCTGTGACGTTCATGCGTTTAGGCATATAATTTATGATTATCCTCGTGACATTCATGCGTTTAACTAACAAATTTATGAACTTGGCCGTGAGATTCATTCTTTCGTCAGTATTTATGCTAGTTTTCCCCGTGTCTCCTTGTGTCTGGCTAACAAACTTATGAACTTGGTCGTGAGATTCATAGTCTGCTCGCCATATTCTTCTTGTGCCCGGTATATTTATGATAGACATAGGCGTTCGTCGTTATGATCACTGCTTGATCGAGGTCCACGTATTTCCCCTTTTTGTGCGAATGGTCGTCAACTTGGTATGGGAGTTGCTTAACCTCCTCATCTGTGTCGCGGAAAGGTGGATTTGCTGTCAAATTCACTGGTTTCCTATACTTTGTAGGTAAATGGCTGACACTCCTGAGTTATCAGAGCATATGGACACCGAGGGAACCAGCACGGCCGAGGAGAGCGTTAATCTGGTTGATACCGTTGACGATCCTACTCTAGATTGGGTTGGTGCAAAACCCCGAGGGATAGCCTCGATCTACAGTTACACCGGGAGGAAAGCCTATACGGTCGTCGAGTATGGCGGCGGCTAGGAGGGTTTTCTAAGAAATTTCAAAATCATGAGGCCGACATAAGACACTCATATATGCTCGGAGTTCACTCAGGATGCCTTCCCCATGTATGAGATCGTGTTCAAAGACCTTGGACTTCGGCTTCCTTTTAACGACTTCCAGATGGGGGTGTTCAATCATTTGAAC